TTTTTTTTGTCCTTGTTGACGCTGAAGAAAAAAAGATAATTAAATAATTTCCCATCTTTCTTTTGTGTTGTTCTCAGTGTTGTTTGAGATGCAGTCATTCGGTCCCAGTCTCGTCAGACTAATGAGTACAGCGACGGGCAGATACCTATCCATGAGAAGAGACGGGACCCTTCGCGGGTTGGTAAGTGAAGTAATTTTCCCCTTCCTTGTTTACAGTATCTATATTCGTTGTCATTGTAGATTTCAGTAAGCTGAATTTCTTAAAGGACTGCTGCGACCAAATATATTTCGTCAAAAATCCCCAAATTGTGTTTTAATTTTAATTGAGTTTCAAGGCTTACTGCTCATATTAAGAGCAAAAAACTGATGGGCAGATCAGAGTTGATTAGTCGTTGAGTTTTCGAAGTAAGCCTATCAGATTTTAATTGTGAATTGGTCCATCCGCGCCTTTTCCCGCGCTTGCCAGGACTCGCGTGTCGTTGCTTTTTTAGTGTAAATTGGTGAGTCATGGTTACGATACGAGCCACTCCAAAGGTTGGTTTTTTTTTTTTTTTTNCTTCCATCACTCTTTTTCTCGTATTATTTTCTTTCAGCGTAGCCAAAGTCACCGGGATTCACTTTTCAAAGAAACACATGAACAGAACGCGTTCCACTCGTACGCGTCACACAAGTATTACCGACAACAGCCTCATGACATGCTGGTTGGCATCAAGAGAAACGGACAGATAAAACGAGCCACGAAAACCTTGCACGGACAAACTGCGACGCAATTTGTTGTCATCAAATTTTGATAGTTTGAGAATCAACTGTCTGACAAAATCGCTACAAGCATTTAGGAGACTGACTACCGAAAAACCGGCAACGAAATGAAATCATCAGAAGCAAATTCTGATAAATTCAGGATCAAACAGATATGTTCGACATCGATCTTCTGTAGATCTTAAAAAAAGAACTGTTAATGAAATCTGATAGCGTTGTAGATTTAATTTATTTATCAATTTATAGATTGATTACATCTTTTTTTTCAATTGCATGTAAATTAGCTTAAATTATTGCATCGCAAAATGACAGCGCGTTTATCTTCATAGTCCAGTCCCTGACTCGTCCCCAGCCGTCTCTCGCTCCCGTTAGAGACTCACGCCTGGGGACGAGTCAGGCCCAGCAGGGCGGAAAAAGTACATATAAGCGCCCTGGGTCCAGTCCCTGAACTCTCCCTTCCCCGCTCTACTTAACAATTAGATTATGGGAAAAGCAGATTTAAGAAACTTAACTAATATCTTCAGAGATCGCAGCGTACTTAACAATAGACATGTGCGGCTTTAAAAAATCAAATTTTAACATTGCTAATCAGTTAGCTGTTGTGTCTTGGGTGGATTTATTAAAATTCCGTAAGCACCAAATCATAAATATAGACTTTTCAGTCTACATGAACTAAACTAACGGCACAAACTGAACGATAGTGCGAAACCTCACATACTCCCTCCTTCTAAAAAAATAATATTAATGGTCCCCGATTATGGCTCCTGACCGTCCCTAACAATAAACGGTCGACACTAACCGCTAACAGCAACTTACCCATCACTTTCGACGAACTTTTATCAGTGCACGAACCTAGCAGCCAACGACAAAACGACAAAACTGACAAGCACTAGGGACTAAACAATACCAGCTGACGAACAGCTTGAACTTGACTCCGCTGTTTGGGTTCTCGAAACTTCAGTCACCATGCCAACGGCAGTTGAATCTTTACGGAACTACCCTCATACGGACGATTAATTACAATATTTAGAGAGGAAGCCACATCAGCCTTGCCTGGTTTTCATGCTGGTCCTCGGTCCTGGTCGAATTACAATTTGGAGTGTTGGTTTTTGTGGAGGGGGAAACCGGAGAACCCGGAGAAAAACCCTCGGAGCAAGGCGAGAACCAACAACGAACTCAACCCACATGTGGCACCGGGTCGGAATCGAACCCGCAAGCCACAATGGTGGTAGGCCAGCGCTCTCATCACCGCGCCATCCCTGCTCTCCAAATCACAACAGAAATTCACTAGCAGTAAGTGTTAGTAATCCCAGGCTTCGGCTTTAGCTCTGATTTCAACTGTTAGCACTGTAGTTCGACCTTGATTACTGTGGATGGCACGAAAATCTTATCCGATCGTCAGCCTGCTTTATATTCTACCCAGCAGCGCTAGATTATTGAATAGCAATGAATGCCTTGGAACTGGACCGTACCCCTGTCCCTCCCCCTCCGCTTCAGCCATGAGAGCGGTTTTGAAGTGACCAAAACTACGTGAAACAGGAACGAAAAAAAGTAAACGGAGAATTCAAGAATTTGTGAATGTTGGTATGTCACAGAATGCTAAAAGGCTACAACGCTAACTTAATCTCTGAATTGGTGTTGCAAATGTTGTATTAAAAAATTAAAAGCAACGGAACTCCTAAAGGATTATTTGAAAAATACCTTGGCGATTTGAAAGTTAAATTTTTTTTTTATTTATGTATAAATTTTGAATTAAATTACTTAAAAAGAGATTTCTTCATTTTAATCGTTACCCTTGCTATTTTAGTTTATCTGAAGAAACAGCACTCAAAGTGAACGATAAAATTCGTTTTAGCAAGAGCGCAACTGGGTCTTGAGATTAATACCCTCCCATGCAGAAACTAACTTTTGTTACAATCATCTTGATATTGCAATTAGGGTACCGAATCGAAATCAAGATTAATTTTCAAAGAGGGTTAGTTTTCGCTGTCGATCTCCCGAAACAATTCAAGCCAGTCTAACGCAACCGAATTCGTTTAATTACGCACGCCATTACGAAGAAAGAAAGATTTTAGCTAAGTGGATCTACTCAAACGTAAAATTTTAAAATGTTTTTGTTAAAATGCTTTGTTTGACTAGGCCCGGAAATCTATTGAAAATGATAGATTATAGAAGCAATTAAAACTGAGTCTGCTTGCAATTTAGTTTGAACAGAAATTGTGTCATTACTCCATTAGCTCAATTGTTAGGAACAGCAGAAACCCTTAAGGCACGCTTTGAATTAGGTTCCACCATCTTTTCCTTTGCGCTCGCACGCAGCAATGTGGGGCACGCTGTCAAAATGAGTTTTTTCAAGAAAAATGTATGAATCAAGCTTCAAGGAAATCCTTCGTTTTAAATCGTTAATTACTTTGTAACGGAACTATATTTGAAGAATCCGCCGTAATTTATGTTTTTTTCTGTCGAGGATATAGTTTAAAAAAATAACGCATTTTCTAACTTTCACATACCTTTTTAATGATTTTGTACTGACACGGAAGGCTTTAGTCCAGGGAACGATTTAAAGCATACGAAAGCTACATCCGTGAAAGAAATCTTCATAATGATACTGCTAAACCTATTTTACAAACACAATACTGACAAAAAAGCATTAGTCGTGCAAATACAATGAAAGCGAACTCGCCATCACCTTGCAACATATGGGCTCTATTGTTATGTGTTCACGAAAATCTCACAGGGCTAAACGAATTCGAACTGCATTTACAACTGGTCTTATATCTGTAATTCCACTTGCTTTTTACGGTATTTTGATATCGAATGACGGCATGGATTTTTAACCAGAAAAGCTGGCGGGATTTACATCTCTTAAGATGCCGAGATATTTCTATTGAAAGCTATTTACATTTAGGCTGATAACAATTAGCTTGCCGGGCTAAGTAACACCAAAAGCTTTCCTGTTGATGTCATCACGATAATGAGATTATTCGAGAAAACGCTATACAGCTAGTAGGCTTTGGTGCGAACAAGGAGCTTAGCTCTCCAGAACTAAGTAAAAAAGCAATTTCCTTTTTTTACAGTTTGGAGACTGTTCTGCTGTTTGTAGACTCCGCCATCATGGATCTCACCGTCTTCCATATCACCATGCTATGGATTGTCACCTGCATTCTCGTCCAGGTATGAAACCACCGCCTTGGAAAACCTGAATTTCAAAATGACCTTTCTTTCTGTAAAGTGAATGAGTCTTTTCACGCGGATTATGAAACAATTTTCTTGATCCTTCTTTGGTCCTTTTTCCTTTTTTTGAAAAATCGTCACCGGTTGATGAACAAACAGAATGCAGAGAGAAGTGTTTCACAAGGTGAGAATGTGAATGGAATCAGTTATAACTGAATTACTTTTTATATTCCCAGTTGAAGCCACAAGACCCGTTAGCCTCGTTCATTTGCTAGCTGAAGAATAACCGGGATTTAATGCTAATGACAGAGGTTCCCTAAGAAGAATTTTCTCGTCTTGCAAAGTTTTGAGGGGGATAAAATGACTCAGGAATGCACCGACTCGATAGTCACTAGGCAAAGCTTATGGCTGCATTTGCATGTGAAACAAATATTCATTTCCTAAAAGGAAAGTAAATTAAATCTCGCCTTAAACAAGCAACACAAAAAATGCTAATTTTGATTCGGGAATGAAGAAACGATTTCTGTAGCATTTGAAAGCACCCCTTAAATTTTGACGGCCGTAAACTCACACCATCGAGGCTTTTTGTTCTGCCATTTACATCGACTTTGAGTTATTTTCTACCACAAAGGTGAATCATAATATCTGATGTAATAACAGCTGCTCAGTATATATTGATATCAAATATTTTGATTCCTTTTCTTCGAGGAAAAAAAAAATCCCAGCTAATGCAGTAGGGGTACGTTTGTTGTGTTGGCATTCTGTTGTCATGGTTTAGGAGAGCTGTTGTTCCTTTTAAACTCTTTTGGCTTATCTTTTTTGACCTTCACTTCGACTGGCCGATTCTAACGACCTCTCTTATCGTTTATCGGCAGGATTTCGTCATGGTGTTACCAGGGAGATATGGCAGTCTGTTTCAGGCCAACACTTGTACAATCTCACTTCTTCTTCTCAATATCAGGAAAGCCCGACCATCAAGGACACTTTGAACCATTTCGTTGCAAATGAAAATATAGGAAACAACTATGGCCAGCGGCTAACTACATTCTACAGGGTGAGGCTCAAACTTTCATACCCAGAAGAGGGGGTGTGGGAAGTGAAGAAGGGTGTTAACCTGCTTATTTGTCAAATAACAAGGGGTAGGGACGGACAGTTTTTGGCCTTGGTGTCATAAACATGGCCCCAAAACAACGACGCTTTGGTAAAGCCACGCTCAACCTATTCTTGTATGAATTAACCTTTCTCATATCCCCTCCCTCCTCCCCCCAAAAAAGCAAACAAGCAAGAGTCACGGCTTCAAATTCCGTTGAAGCCCTGCAAAGCTTTCGGAATAATTATGCAACTGCTTAAGGTGGGCCGAACACAGTTTTCACGCGCGCTTTTGCTGATGCAATTGAGCGCGCGCACAAGGATTGTAAAAACAAACATGCCGTCAATAGAGCGATCATTTTCTTTACTCAACACCCGCACTATCTGTGCTATTTTTCTCTATTGAACGCAGTCTATTGATGGCTTCAGTCTTTTATTACAAAGATATGTTAGAAAAGGTAACGACGCAAAGAACCCAGCAATTCTCAGCTTTTTCTTT